CTCCTCTCTCTCTCTCTCTCTCTCTTATATATATATATGTCTCTCTCCATCTATCTCTATATATATCTCTCTCTGTATGCATATATATATAAATAATCTCTATCTCTCTCTATATATATATATATATCTGTATATATATTCTCTATATATATAAATATGTATATATATATCTCTATCTCTCTCTATTTATATATATCTATATATATATATTATCTATCTATATATATATATATATATCTATCTCGATATATATATATCTCTCTCTCTCTCTTATCTTTCTTTCTCTTTATATATATCTCTCTTTCTTTATATTTATATATATCTCTCTCTCTCTATATTTCTATATATCTCTCTCTCCCTCCCTCTCTCTATATATATATCTCTCTCTCTTTATCTATATATATATACATATATCTCTCTCACACTCACTCACTCTACATATATATATCTCTCTCTCTATATATATATTTCTCTCTATCTATCTCTATATATGTATCTCTCTCTATATATACATATATATATCTATATGTATCTCTCTCTATATATTTATATCTCTCTATATATATATTTCTCTCTCTATCTCTATCTCGATATATATATATCTCTCTCTTTATTTATATATATATATCTCTCTCTCTTTATTTATATATAAATATCTCGCTCTTTATATATATATATATATAAATATACATCTATATATATATCTATAAATACATCTATATATATCTATCTTTCTATCTGTTTATATGTATATAAATATCTCTCTCTCTCTCTCTCTCTCTCTATCTATCTATCTCTCTATATATATATATATCTCTCTCTCTATATATATATATATATATATATCTATATCTGTCTATATATATATATATATCTATATCTGTCTATATATATACATATATATTTCTCTCTATCTCTATCTGTCTCTGTCTCTGTCTCGCTTTAGATGTAAACTCGTACATATCATCTACAATATGCGACAGATGTCGTTTCGTTCTGTTCATCTGCAATTCTTCGTCTTTTGGCCACAGGGCATTCCGGCGTTACCTGGTCAGCAAATGCCCATGGACGTGCTCGACCAGATGGTAAAGCGTATCCTAGACACCGTCCCCGGCATCTCGCGTGTGGTGTATGACATGACTGCCAAGCCCCCAGGCACCACTGAATGGGAATAAATCGATCGGAGCGAGACCCCTCTCCAGAGGACCCGATGTTGTACATAGATAGATACTTACTTTGTTGTTGGTAAAGAACTTCTGTATAGTTTTCGGTGCCCAGCATATCACCCATAACTTCCACACAACTGTTTGAATGGGCTATTGCTATTTAGGACTATTGTACTGGGT